ATATCATGAATTCCAAGGTTATTATTCCATGCCTGCAAATTTTGTCACAAAATTTAATACATTTTCTTTTATGTATACAAGGTTAGAACCTTCACCAGCAAAGCTTGGTACCTGGTAAGAAGAGCCACCAGCAAAGTTTGGTGCCTGGTTAGAACAGCCACCAGCAAAGTTTGGTACCTGGCCAGAACCGCCACCAACAAACCAAGGTGACCTGTTTATCTCATTCAGCAAATCCGTGTAGTTAACATTGCTACCAAACACACCTTTCTCCCTCAAACATTTGAAAACAGCATCAACAACAGCATTCACAACTTCATCTCTCATTGTTTTCCTATCTAAGAAGATCATTTGTTGTACCTTCAAACTGTGCTCATAATTCATTTCCTGTACCTTCAAACTGTGCTCATAATTCCTACGCTCTACCTCCCTAAAAATGTATTCTGCAGTCAGATTTTTCACATGAATCTTACTACACTCACCACCATCACTTTTACCTTCCCCTTGCGGCTTTGTTTTCATCTTTGGTTTACATTTTGCTTTCCCTTTCTGTTTTGCAGTGAGTTTTTCAGCTTTAGTCCTCAAACACGCTGTTATCAATGGTTGATTCTCCACACCGCCGTGCCAGTCTTCTTTCTTAAATTTGTGTCCTTCTTTAATCATTCTAGACATATACTCCACTGCAACATCTCCCGTCTCATCTTCACCCCATGAGTAGTCTTCCAGTTCTCCATCTTCATCACCATGTATAATGCTCTCCACCTTAAGCTAAAGCATAAATAAAATGAAACTTAACAAGTTAGGGGAAGCAACATAACTAACCACTTACCATGATGTTATGATTATTCACTTACACTTGGATCTAGCTCTGTTTCAAGGATGTTGGAATTGTGATAACACTTCAAGAAAGTCAATTCTAGAACATTGCGGTCACTAAGAGTAAGCTCATCTTTAGGGTCAGGAAGGTATTTTTCTAACAGAGGGACAACTTCCAGGATAAGAAGTTGGATGGCAAGAGTGAACCCATGAGTTGCTGCATGAGATTGGCTTAGCCTTTCCACAAGCTCTTCTACACTTTCAACTTGCCCGACACCAACTTTTACCATCTCCAAGGTCTTAGAAAATGACTTACGGCCCCATGGATATTTGACAAAAGTATCTAAATTTTTTAGCATGCCCACAACTTCATAAGTTGCTCTGACAGTAGAAGTGTCGCACACCAAAATTCCATCCACAATTACTAGGAGAGCCAGTCTCAACCTGCGCTGATAACCCATCTTTTCTTCCTCAGGCATCCTCTTGTCCAGCTTTAACATATCTACAATAGATTTTATAGTGTATGATTTCTTGGGTCCTATCAGAGTCTTAAAGTACGGTGGTGGAGAATTTGGATCCTCAGCATCAGGAGGATTTTGAGCTTCAGCAACAGTTTGACTTGTACCTTCAGGATCAGGAGGATTCTTCATATTATCAAGTGTTTCTTCACATCGATATGGTCCACAGTAGAGTCCTGTAATGAGTCCAAACTCTCTCAAAGAAAAACGGATGGGATGCCCCCCAAAAACAAACCACAGCTCTTCTTTTTTCTGAGTTACTAGTGACCTACATAGAAATTGATGCACAAGTTTCCCAGATAACGAACTTCTTCGGACTGGTAGGTCAAACAAACGACCAAAGCATGATTGTTTAAGCCACGCTAACTCCCGAGACCCATCTAACACTTCTACAAGATCAAGGAGATACTGAGGTCTGGAGTAGCAGTTAATACGGCCTGATAAAGGATAACGATCTGTGCAGAATAGCCGCGGAGGTAGGAGAGCGGCGTTAAACACTTCTTTCGCTTGTCTAGTAGGCTGTTTTCTCCTCTGGAGCCTGTAC